AGCCTGCGGAGCAGTCATCGCCCTCTTCCTGCTCCTCTGCGCTATATTGCACAGATCGCCGCTCTAAAAGATCGAACGACGACAGAATCGACAAACCATCGATTAACTAAAACAAAATGTAAAACATGTGAAAATGTATTTTAATACATTTCAATGCATTCATCATATATATCAGACGTGAGGCACGCGGCTTAATATAATCTATAGCGGTTAACCCTAAGAAACTAATAAAAAATTGAATTACTCTTGCATACTCTAGTGCTTCTGCTTGAGACTTGGATCTGTGACAATACACGATTGTGCGAAATATGATCGACTTTTACAATTGTTTTTAAACGTGTTTTTATTTTCAAACGCTGGTTCTTATTATATCCGAAATATAAACTATACACTATGAGTTATTTCTAGAAAATATTATCGCATAGGGTTTCCCAAAAAGTAGAAATATTTGTGAAACGCTGGTAGTTCTTAGCGAGTATAAAGCGAGCCGAATTCAATAAATTTTGTTTGAACAAAACAAAAAACAAAGTCCTCACAGAAAAACTGTTGTGTTCTTTGTATTAATTAGAATTGTATGGAAGCGATGAAAATTTTTCGAGAAATATAAAGACCTAAATTGAATTTGAGGTATATAATGTATAAGTTAGACAAAATGATACGAATTGCAATTGTGTTGGATTATAGGCGCGCCAGTAAAATAGACGTTAGCACCCTATTTAGATAGAATGTCTCAATGTTGAACACGAATAAAAACATATAGCACAAGTTGGCACACAAAACATTCGTACATTTATAGCATATTTATGATTATAATAAACATATAAATGGCCTATGGAGGAGTTTGCATTAATCAAAATAATTTTAATTGATAATAAAAAAATTATTCACTTAAACGTCATTTTAACGTTAATTCAACTAGTTTCAATTTGAATATGTTAAATTAAAAACTGTGTATACATGTGCACATGTGTACTTATATTAATTTGGAAATATGGACAAACAACACTCTTTTTTGCACTAATTTATTAAATAATAATTTTCACAAACGTTTCGAGACTAGGTTTGTCTCATCATCAGTGTGTTATAATTTAAAATTTAAAATATGGAAATATAATTTAGCATTTTGTGTTATCCATTACAAGTCGCTCGATACATACTGTGTACTTATATGTATATATATATATATATATATATATATATATATAAATTGGGAATTTAGAACTGACCGACCAATAATATTGAAAAATTATAATTCATATTACTCAACTTTTTATGAAGAACCTATTCAATTGGTTTAAATATTAGTAATTATTCACATGTTCAATTATTGTCGCACAGATGAAAAATACGATTATTTATCAATTATCATTTTGATTAATGCAAAAAGGCACGATTCAGACTATGGTATGGTGAAGGCTTCTGGACAATATTCATTGCTATATCACGAATGCGCTTTCTTTGATTGGTAAATTGATTAATTAGGCAAAATGCGTATTGTAGGTCGTCGTCGGCAAGTTGATATGATGTTAAGCTTAATGTGATCTTATTGCGAATTTTGTCGCTGGCCATTGATAATATATAACACTATGAATTTATATTTATAATAATATTATAGTGCTAGTTTATAGACACTTAGTAGGAAGTAAGTTAACGCACGTGAATTTTTCAAGAAAATCCCCTATAATGATATTAATGAAAATAACAAAACATCTTATTGCTTTAATAAAATATTTCGATTCAAAAAAAGCGATTGACAACAATAGTAGATTAGACATTTCTTACCGCAGTGATTGCATTGATGAAATATGTATTGATCAATATCAGTCATATTAACATAACAAATGACTTCTGTTATATCACATGATCATAAAAATTATATTTAAATATTAGCATTATCGGAACTTATTTATTCACCAGAATTGGGGTCGCTATATATTTGAATATCATAAATATTGGATTAGTTCCTGAGAAATCTAAAAGCAGCAAGGCATATCTGAGGTGAAAATTTCGATGTAGATCAAAAATTTACTTTAGAAGAGAACTACGTCTCAATCGCTCATGATTAATAGATTTAAACATGATGTTAATATATTTTCCCTAAATTGCCTAAAATATACACGCTGGACTAAAAATTAAATACATATCTCTGTATGGTGCAGAATATTATATAAATATAATATATAAATAAAATTATTATTACTTTTAGATTTTAATAAATAGTTGAAACCTATAAATGAAATATTATTAGAAACGACTAACTTAAATTAATTTGTAAATATTGATGGTGCATTCCATAAGACTATAATATATTTATTTCATTGATTTTATTCCATAATAGGTATACATCGCATATCAATTAACAAAATCTGCTTTAGTAATCTTATAGAGTTTTATTAACAAGATTATAGAATCATTTACTTTCAAATACAATCTGAACAAACATATAATACATATATATTATAGTACAAATTGTATGTGAATAATTTGTAACATATTTTTATATTCGAATTATGTTATCTGATAGCGATAGTTTGTTTCATTAAGTTTTAGCGATGACTATTTTGTTAATTATCCATTAACTGTGTAAATCCAAATTTAAATATATAATTCTACTTAGCAAAATAAATCAACAAGGGCCCAAAATTTTAATACTTTATTCATTCTGGTAAAAATATTATTGCATATTAAAATTCAACTAATCAACTAATAGTAATATGTAATAGACAATTTAATAATGAAAATGTATGTTTAACATAAAACGTATATATGGTTGGCACCAACGTAGTACATATATTTTCCCATTCGCTAAAGAATGTTCAAGTATTAATTAAATTACACTTTAAATTGTAAATTATTATTTAGACATATATATTATACTTACTTTCATGATCTTTTTCTATATGCCCATAATTTATTCATGGTTTTTCTAACCGCAATGAAATAAATTTAACATGCTAAATCCAAGAAATTAGTTAAATTCTGACCTATAGCTTGGTAAGATTTTGTAAAATTTAGTTCTAACATGAGTAATTTTTATTTTATTATTAGTTATAATGCTTAAACAGTATCCTTTGAACTAATACCTTTTGAAATAGTTTAATCCTTCAGTATTGATTATTATTCATCCTTGCTCAAAATAGTTTGCGCACTAATCTCAATAGCCTAACTAAAAGGGCCTAAAAGATAGTTAATATGAAATACTCGTACAATAGATAAATACAGAAATATTTAACACTTTATGACAGCGGTCAATGATATCAGATGTTGATTTAAATTTATTGTAAATTATTTATGAAATGCTTTGTTGAATGTAAACTATTGTGTAGATAATTCAATAATACACAATTTTAAAAGAAATGTGAGCTTTTACTCCCAAAAAAATGACAGAGTGTTTTCCACATGTAAACTGGAATATACATATATTTGTAACTAATTAGTTATAAATATAGACATCATAGTAGTGTTGATACTAAAAATGTGGTACTTCTTTTAATCAATCCATGACATTCTCGCAGCTTTATTGTAATTAATTTTATTACAATCATGTGAGTACAATAGAAACAAAAAGACCAGGAAGATAAAATGAATTTGTTTATAATTTTTGAAAATGTTTGTGAAGAGTGGTTTAGTTTTTGGCAAAAATTGGTCCGGGCGTTTTGGAGATACAGACCAATGAGTGAAGGAAATGGCAATTAAGTTTGTGAAAGAACCAGGCCTGCGATTTGAATGATTTAAAAAACATTTCACTTGATGTAATGAAAAGTTGATTAAGTTTTTGCAAAGGCAGGTCCAGCGCTTTCGTAGATCCAGAAGAAAAAGGTTAGAAAAATGCCGTTTGGCGATGGAAATTCAGATATTTTTGTAATTTGAATCAACATCAATTTGGATTTGAAAGGGTATCCAAAACTTTCAAAAAATTTCTAAGTTTTCGAAAAATATTAGCATTTTCTAGAAAGGCACTTGTCTCAATAGTTCAATTTTTCAATTGTTTTCGAAATTTTCAAAAAAAATCCAAATTAATAAGTTCAAAATTCTAAATTAATGCTTGAACAAAATGTTTACCTAACATTTGACATTCGTTGTTTTCTTTCTCTATGTGAAATTAAGTCACAAATTAAGAGCTCTTAATAAGGTTATAACTCATAAATCTATATAATACGATTTTTCTTTGTAGAGAAGTATCGAAAAAGATATTTAATCGTATATGAAACTGCAGCAATTGCTTGCAAATTACAATACGGGAAGTTCCTGCAATTTGGCTTGAGGCATGATGCCATGCACCTCTAGTTTAGAGCTATCAGGAATTGATCTACGTGACATTGAAAAGTACTCAAAATATCAAAACACATTGTTACAAATTGATTTATGTGTATAAATATATCAAGTGTTTGTGTAAAATTCTGTGACAATATAGATTTTGCATAAAATTACTCACATGTATTTAAAGCAAGCTTTCACAGTGTCCTATGCTTGCAACAAAGCCATCTAACAATTTTAGGTATTTTTCTATTTACACACAATCTGCGGAAAGAACTTTTTTCGCTCTTTTACATGACAATATAACATTTGACTTCACAGTTGCGAAAACAGTTTTTGCAACGCTCGCCATTTTGAAAGTAAATGTAAATCATATTTGTAGTGTTTATAAACATTTAAATTTTAACTGATTAAACTTATGATTAAAGAAAAACCTTAGAAAACTCGATAAGATGATACTAACTTGCAACGTATAAAAACACAAGTTACACTAAAAAACAATTATTAGATCGAAGAAGTAAATACAAAAAAATAAATAACGTCTTATTATATTGTCTAGGCGCGTTAATAAAACTATTCGACATGGCCTATCTGGCAGGAAGTTTGTCCAGGTCCTCATTCGCTCTTTTTTGCATTTTGCATTCTTTATCCTGAAGTTGGCTGTGCTGTGGCTCACTCTGTTGTAAAATCAGCGAACTTCACGCCTACTATGCATTAAATGCTTAAACAAAATGGCTACCTAATATTTGACATTAGTTGTTTTCTGTCTCTCTGTGAAATTAAGTTACAATTAATATCTCTTAATAAGATTAATAACTCATAAATCTATATAATACGATTTTTATTTATCGAGAAGTATCGGAAAAGGCATTCAATCGTATATGAAACTGCAGCAATTGCTAGCAAATTAACAAATACTATACTGCAAAGGTTAGATACAGTTATGAGAATCATATCGTTTTGTTATATATGTTATTTGAAGTAAAATGATCTTTCTTTATGTTAAATAATTGTTTATTTGTATAAATTTTTAATAAGCAGTCTGACATTGCCACGGAATCATGCCTAAAAGAGGTGGTAACAGGGGCAATGGTAATAGGGGAAGCTGGAATTCCACACATTTCAATAGCAGATTTAGAGATGGTATTTCTCATTTATATAGAATATTTAATTAAACCAAGTTATATATGTTTATCATAATTATACTCTGCCTTTCTAGAACATGATGACCGAACAAAAGATAGCACTCGCCGTGTTAGCTTCAAGACAAACCAAAATCGTCATCATGGTGGTCAAAAATTTAAAAACTATGAAGTGTCAGTCCGAGCACACCTTTTGGATGAAGATATTGACATGACTGGATTGAGTACATCCCAGGTTAATTTTTATTTTGTAAATAAATAGGTTTAAAGTTTTCTGTAAACTTTTTATAATTTTCAGGTCAGACCTATAAATCGAGGAAACAGGAGAGGAGATAGACATGAGGGACGAAATCGTAATTCGCCATTGCCAAATAAAAAATTATTACCAGGACCATCAGGTTTCTATGAAGTGATGGTGCGTTTTTGCTATGCTGTTGGTTAATGTATATCCAACGTAGCCTCCAGGATCTATATAAAATTGACAATCTACAAAGAGCTAATAATTTTATAAATTAAAATGTAACATTTGTATTCTTCCAGATACTATACATGAGAAATTATGACAAGGATTTCATAATTAAAACTATTCATAGTCGTATACAACCTGATCCATTTCATCCTCTGTACTTCAAACTGGATCAAGATAAAGCTATCTTTTATGTTGATAGTTTTCCTATTGCAGAAAAAATCTTCAAGCTAGATAGACTAATTACTTTACCAAATGGACACAAAATGATAATAAAAGTTCGATCGGGGATACCTCAACTTACCATCAATGAAAACCTTCGTGAAAAAATGATTGCAGCATTTGCTAAAAGATATAACCCAGCTGCGAAAGCATTAGACTTGTCTAGCTTTCATACTGATCCTGAATTATCTGATGTGTATTGTTCTTTGGCTAGACCACAAGTTATGATTGAAGCTATTGGTATAATAGCTTCTAGAATACCAGATTTAGTAGCTTTAAATTTAGACAGCAATAAAATTCATATCACAGATCACATGAAATGTATAACTGAAAAATTACCTAATATCACAATATTGCATTTAAAAAATAATAAGGTGGGTGACTTTAATCAATTTATTAAGAAACAATAATGTACTTATATACTGAAAAAAAATTGCAGTTGCTACATACAAGTCGTTTAGAGGTTTTGAAAAAGCTACCGTTGGTGGAACTGATTTTAGAAGGAAATCCATTAAAAGGCAAATTTAGAGATCCTAGTGTTTATGTAAGGTAAGATCTTATGTATTCTATGAATTGTTTATAAGCATCAAGAAGGGCAGCCAGGTTTCTAATTTAAAAAAGAAATTCAATGGTGATGTTGAGAGAAAGCTTGAGTCATGGCAAAGATTAATATGAATGATGTTATCTTTATTGTGAAAACAAGATTTGTACTATTTACATGCATTATCATTACTCGTATTATTTACATGCATTATTGATTTCATATCTTTTTATTATATTTTATATATTAGTAGCCATGAGTTTAATAGATGTATCAATATTGAATAATGTGAACTATGTCTGAGCTATAACTTTTATTGCTACATATTTCATATGACTTTCTTCAACTAACCATTTCAGAATTCCTTAAAATAAGTGTTATTATAATAGTTTGTATACTATTATAATATAAATTATTTTATTTTTTATTTTTTTACATTTAAATAAATTTTATTATCCATATTTTTGTTCATTAAAAATATTACATCAGGCTGGCAGTCTGGAAAGTTTTTGATGGTTTTAGATTGAACAATGCTGAGATCAAAAACTTTTTAGCTCATGTGTGATGTAAATAAAGTTGAATAAATAGTATGAGAGAAATATGGAACATGCATAGTTTGCAAAAATATAATTTTGTAACTGTCAGTCAAAAGCTTAATTATATTATTCACTACACTATAACATTAATATCATAACAAAGCTAACATAAATATTTAGAAATAGTTCATATATTTATTTATTTATTAATGTATATATAAAATATAAAGACAATGGATGTTTTGCCATCAAGTAATATTATTCATCAATTCTTTTTATTAACACCTTCCAAACTAATAACTTTGCGGAACATTTTATTTAAACATGTTTCTGTGCAACTATTCAGTTTTAATATTCAAGAAAAAATCGAGTTTAATTTTAAATTGTTAATACCAAATAATATAGTACTCTCTGATTAAAAAGAAAAATTCAGTTTGTACATAATAATCGAGACTTATGATACTAATATGTACAGTGCACTTTATTGGCCAAAATTAGAAATCTTTGTTAAAAAGATTTTTAATGGCTGCATAATTCTTCAAATTATTCAATAAAAAATATGTTGGCAGTTTAGTGCTCGTTAAAATTTACGCTGCATTATTATAATTTTTTATAGGCAATAATAATTAATACAGTTTGTATGAATTTAATCAGTCCTAACATCATTTTGTTAAAGAAACATATTATTTATTTTTTGATTTGAAGAGTAAACATCTTTTTTTGTCTGGAAGATATTATTCCCAGATTTTTAATTCTGCACTGTACATAATTGACGACTTCTGGACAAATTCGTATACATGCGATTCGCACTTCTTATGATAAAGTTATTATTTGGTTTTAGCAAAATGCGACTCACTTTCAGGATATTAACACTGAATATTTATTTTGCATGATTTAATTTAATAAACCATTACTCATATTATTTATTTAAAACTGCTATATTTTTATTTTACAAGAAATAAATAAAATAGCCTAAGATATATTTTGCTGATTGTGATATTATCGATTATTAATCAACTATTGAATGATTTGTATTATGTTAATATTTAAATTTGATTAATGATTGATTATTCTATGGTTATGCAAAATTGTGTCTGCATTTAATATTTGTTTTGTATTATTTACATGCATCAAATGTTATTTTCTAACAAATATTAAATAATTGAAAGACTACATTTTACTTTAAAGTTGTTGGTGATCATGTTAACATAATTTTGGCAATAAGCAAGAAATTATAAATTTTATTTGTGCCTACGAAAATGATTATTCCTGTTACTTTGTTGATTAATAATATAATACAATGACTAATGGGACTGAACTATACCTACTTCTAATTCTCTTTTATGGAAGACAGTAAAATATCTAATCCTGATATGTGTGATACTGAATTATTGAATGAATGATGCAGCGATTATTGCACGAGTGATGTTATTGATAATTATTTGAAAAAAAAAACAAAATATCTAACATCTAAATCTGACTTTCATTCCTTCATCTTCCTCCTACAAATGCTTTATGAAAATGGCAAGAGAATTTGCACCATTTTAAAGGATTTGTTAATTAATATGTCCTGAGAAAAAAATATAAATGGTGGCAGTTTGATCAAGCAAAATAATATGTTGACTTTTCTGTTATATTACAGATAGTCAAATCATATGCTTTCATACTGTGTGGAGATGTATAACTTTATTTCTCCAAAATTCTAGAATACTTGCCATCGAGATGATTGAAGCTGTTATACTTAATATACTACAATATAGACTTGACTTACTTAACTAATTATAAATATAAAAATAATAAAATATTTAATACTTGAAAATATGTGAAGTGGGCACAACTAAAATTTATCTCAAAATTAAGATTTTATTATGAACTCTCATATATCAAATAATGTGTATCTATATCATTTATTTATTTTAATTGATCTATTGATTTTATTCATTTATTACATTATTACATTGCATTATTACTACATAACATTAATTATTACACTTTTTAAAAATTTGTGTTAGCTTACTAATTGATAATAATTAAATACACACTATAATTAATAACTAAATACACATATATGTATATATATATATATATATATATATATATATATATATATATATATATATATATATATATATATATATATATATATATATATTTGTAAATTAATCAAGTACTGGCAGTTATCAAAAATAGTAGCTATTTTTATCTGTATAAACATTTTTGTGAAGAGATACAATAGATGTCTTCATTATTTAATTGAATTTTATCTTCTTATTGTTTTCATTTTTCCATTTTAAATTTGTGATATTTCTTGAACACATATTGCTGTAGAAGATCTGGCAAATATTGTTAACAAAATATATCACAAACAAAATGAAAAAAAATAAAAGAAGCTACATTTGCACATGATTGCTGTTCCATCTTTCCATTCTATGCACCAACTGATGTATTATATCTAAATTATTTGAAGCAAAAGGTTGTTGTAACTATATAAATAATATTGCCCATCTAAACTGTATATAATTCATTCCAATTTTGGCATTTATTTCTGTTATATAACTGTAATCAAACATAATTCTTTGTATCGTCACTCTAGTGGTGAGAGAAATTTGAATCTTTAATGTATATTTTCTCATCAATTATTATAAGGTATATTCTATTTATTTTAAGGAATTCATAAACAAGTTATGTTGCAAAAAGGGATATTACAAAAAATTTAAGAAATTATGTTTAGTATCTCATTCTTGATCAGTGATGTTAGCGATAAATGTTCATAGACTAGATTATCAAAACAAATGAAAGTTCTAAATCAAATTTCTTCTATTAATTTAATCTTATCTAATTAAAATTTATAATCCAAAATATGCAGTACTGTTCAACTCATGGTTACTATTAAATGAATGTTATTGATGTAGTTAATGTTACAGATCTTATTTTGCAGAGTTTTCAGCAGGGGTAATGTATAAAATCATTGAATAGGTTTATAATACATCATATTTTAATCATGACCAATTTGATCAAAGGACTGTCTGTCCATTTTCTTTTTCAGAGAAATTCGAAAATTGTTTCCAAAGTTGGTGAAATTGGTAAGATGATAGATATTTTTTATAAAATCATATTACATTTACAAATAAATATTTTGAACATATTAATTGAATTTATTTTTTTTCAGGACGGAGCAGAAATTCCACCAGAGATATCATTTGATTTGGGAGAAGCTGTTGACTTACCTACATCTAAAGCTTCTTTTCTTTGCAATGCGGGTGCTGAGGGTATTATTCGGCAATTTTTGCAGCAATATTTTACTATTTATGATTCTGAGAGCAGACAACCCTTGCTAGATGCATATCATGAAAATGCAAGAATGTCCGTATCTGTTTTCTTCACCACTGAAAAGTAAGAATGGTTTCCGTTACAATTCAATCATATTTTACTTTTTTTTAATGCTTTGCTTAATTTCTAGGAATACTGTGTACCATAAAGTTAATCGTAATTTGTTTCGCTGTCGAGATATTGATTCAAGACACAGAACACTAAAAGAAGGCCGCTTGCATGTTGTAGCACATCTAACAGAATTACCAAAAACGCAACATGATCCTACATCATTCGAAGTAGATCTGACTGCTTGTACCGTAAGTATAAATATTAAAATCTGAAACACAGTGATTGATAGTAGTTTAGTGATATTTTAAGAAACATTTATAAATTATAGATTGAAGCATTGAAGAATTTCTGAAAATATTTGATACCTATGTAATTGAAGCATTTGTACATTTCGAAATGAAAGTTATGTAATTTTTTCACAGCCTGACATGATGCTCCTGTCCGTATCTGGACTTTTCAAAGAATTAAATGGTGAAAACGATCCACCAATTCGATGCTTCCTTAGAGTTATGGTTATTGTACCTGCTGGATCTGGATTTTGTATCAAAAGTGAAGAAATGGTTATAAATACTGCAACACCTTCTCAAATTAAAGGAGCTTTTCAAGCTCCAACAGCTCCTGTAGCAGGAACCTCTGTGCAACCTGTACCTGTATCAGCTCCACCAGTTGCTGTAGTAATACCAAATCCGGCTGTGATTGATGATTCCACTAAAAAACAAATTATTCAGCAGTTATCAGCGCATACCAATATGAACCTTGAGTGGTCAGAAAAGTGAGTAGCAAAGAAATATTTCCAAAATATTTATATTATGTCTGTTTGTTTTTTTTTCTATTATTACAATAAAAATCAACATTTATTTCAGATGTTTGATGGAGACTAATTGGGAACTCCAAAGAGCTGTATTTGTTTTCACAGAACTGAGCAAAGAAAATAAAATACCTCCAGAGGCTTTCATAAAATAATATTAAATATAAAAAATAATATGAAATATATTTATATTAAAGAAATACTCTACGAGAGATGACATGATTAAATATATATTTATTTCATAATTGATGATGTTACATATATAAGTTCACCTGAAATAATAAGCAAATATTTTGTATATATAGTTTTTGTTACGGTACCTAAATTACTTAATAAAATATAATTTAGTAAATTTGTTTGATTTTATTTACTCGTATTATAATCATCATGTGTATATCAAACAAACCTGTTACAAAAATGCCTTGTAAATTGTGGATTTGTAACTAAATAATTGCAAAGATTCATTAAGGAATTCGTGTTTATACAAATTTAAACGCAGCTGAATTCTGTTTCGGAATTTAAAAACATTTGTAACAAAAAAAGGTTTTAAACATTAATAGTCAACATTCAAACCGGCGCTCTTTGTCAAGCACACCAACATAAGGAATTCAATACAATTGTTATTGAATCCGTATCACCTGTGTGAACAACCAGGACCGCGCTGGGTTAAAAGAATCTGATCATAATTAAAATTGTAATATTTTAATTTATAAGATAAAAAATTATGAAATTAAAACATGGACAATAATTTAAATAAATCAGGATATTTATGACCATGGAACTAGACAAACATATTTTTTTTTTAGTTAAACACTGGAAAAACAAGAAAGGGCAAGCAAATTTATTGTGGAGCACAATGAACGCAAGTTGATTACACAACAAGCTTTCGGATTAAATAAAACTAATCATAGATTTGACTAAATACAAAATGAAGTTGAAGAAAAAATACGGTAATAACGATCTAATTAATAAGATTTTTGAAGATTCTGGCATGCCTTAGAAATATGGATCTATCAAAAAACATTGGATTCCTACTGATAAGGAAACGTGCTCATTAGTTTTTGGCAAAGGCAGGTCTAGCCGTTTTGAAGATATGGGGCAAAAAGTATCAAAAACAGTAACTCAGTTTTTAAGAGAACGGAGCGTCCGATTTTAATAATTCAAAAAACATTTTAAATTTTTGGGAAGGCAGGTCTAGTCAATTTTAAAAACTGATTAAATTTTTGGGAAGGTCTAGCGGTTTTGGAGATCTAGTAATCAAAGTAAAACAAAATGCCATTTGGAGGTCAAAAATGATCATTAGATAAAGGCACATCAAATTATCAGATATTTTATGGAAATTTTAATAATACGTATAAATTATGTTTAAGCTTTTATATTTTGTCTCTATGCAGCTAAAGCAATACGATTTAGCTTTGAAAAAAAATTCCAAAATCTTTCAAAATAAATAAAACATTTTTTCAATCTTTTTTTCCAAAGAAGTCAATTTTTTTTCAAAAATAAAATTTCAAAAAAATTTTTTTTGGTACGGAAAGTTCCAGCAATTTGCCTTAAGGCACGATGCCATACACCACTAGTTTTATTTTTATGTAGTCAATTGTATTATTAATATTAATCTTTTTATATGTGTATATTTACGCAAGTGTACGTGTAGGCCTATGTGTATGTGTTTATAGCATTTCTTGTAATATTTTTTATAATTGTTTTTTTTTTTTAAATAAAATATAATATTTTTTAGTGTTCCTAGTACGGCCCTGTTCCAGCTTCACATAGTAGAATGAACCACTTGCACTACACTCTACTACTCCAGTACTCGGTTTCGTGTTTCGTTGGAGTGAGGTGTGTGTTTGTTTTAGCTGTCATTGTGGAATTTTATTGTTGTTCTTTATTTGTTGCAAATGTCAATATTTTATATTTACCATTCTGTAAAGTGATTTATTAATTATGTCATAAATAATATTTTTATTAATATATCCACAAACCTGCCATTGCAAAATTTTTATTAAAAATTGTTTCCGAATCTCACAAACTTTGTTGTTAATGAATTAAGATAACATTAAATCCGGCAAAACTTTAGAATTTCAAGGCTGGAAATAATTAATTTAATTTATGTTCGAACATACATGAAGAATTTCGACTTGTTTACCTGCGAGAGTTTATTGTTAGTTCTTCCACCTTCCAAACCTTCACCTGTTGCAATTTTAAACCTGAGTTGTAAAATATATACATAGTTTTATATGACTTGTGTCTAATGAACTAGAAAGTTAAAAGTGATGGTTTTTTCATTGAGATTTGTTGTGAAGAAAACATTATAACATTAATTATTGTGCTAGTTAAAATGATATTGTGCTACATTAGCTAGAATGCTGAATATTAATCCATAAAGGACTTACTCAAGCTTGTGTAAGGTAACTGAGAATTTTTTCCTTGATATTTTCCTTGATATCCTTGATATTTGAACAACATTAAAGTTTTAACTTTAGTTTTTTTAAACAACATTTTTATTATTTAATTATTCATTAATATGAATTAAATAATATTAATTATTAATATGATTTAAATAAATTATTATTTAATTATTCATATATATATATATATATATATATATGATATATATATTTTTGTATATCAAAAATTAAATGAAATTTAAATAAATTATTAAAGAATGTGTAGTATATAAGTAACTGTTTTTGAAATTACACTGAAGATGAGACACACCATGGTCTCGAAACGTCTGTAATCATAAAATAAAGTTGTGTTAAACAAATCTGAGTGCTGTTTTGTTCATATTAAACAATTAATATTCGTTCCACTCATATCATAAAATTCTATATATATATATATATATATATATTTAAAAATTTAAATATATACATTATTTTCATATCTCAGTCAGACAGAGGTGCCTGGTATGAGAGATTATAAAAACAGTTTTTATATTTTATATATACATTTAATTTGACTATTTCAGTAATATAATATCTATTATAATTAAAATATCTTTATATAACTCTTCATATATTATTTTTTGTTTCGGTATTTTTGCAAATTCATATTACTGAATGTTTCAGGATCATCAAAACCTGATCTTTTATAACCACAAAAATTGCATAAAATACACGAATAAACTATAAATCTAAGTAAAAAATGAATCTATGTATTTTATTTGTAAAAAATTTCTATTGAAACTAGTGGGGTGCATGATATCGTGCCTTAAGGCAAATTGCTGGAACTTCCCGTACCGTAAATAAAAATCTTGGTACGGAACCCAAAAAAAAATTGCACAAAATGTGTACACATTATTAAAATCTCTATAAAATATTTGATAATTTGATATGTCCAATAAACATTTTTGACCGCCAAATGACATTTTTTAAACTTATTTTTATTGAGAGTCCATAAAAGTTGGACCTGCCTTCCCAAAAAATTAATTATTTAATTAATTATTAAAATCGGACGCTCCGTTCTCTTAAAAACTGAGTTATTGTTTTTGGCAGTTTCTTTATCTTTGGGACGGCTGGACCTGCCTTTGCCAAAAGCTAATCAGCACGTCTCCCAATCAATACGAATCGAATGTTTTTTGAATTATCCAAATCGGTTAATCGGTGTTCTCGAAATCGTTGACGAAAAATTGTATCCGCACACACACACACTCACACACATACAGTATGTGTGTATGTGTAATGTGAATGAGTAATAGTATTTGTGTATATAATAGTACGAGAGTATATAACCATATTTGTAAATATAATATAGTACGTGAATGAGTAATAGTATTTGTGTATATAATAGTACGAGAGTATATAACAGTGTTTGTAAATATAGTAAAGTACGTGAATGAGTAATAGTATTTGTGTATATAATAGTACGAGAGTATATAACAGTGTTTGTAAATATAATATTGTACGTGAATGAGTAATAGTATTTGTGTATATAATAGTACGAGAGTATATAACAGTGTTTGTAAATATAGTAAAGTACGTGAATGAGTAATAGTATTTGTGTATATAATAGTACGAGAGTATATAACAGTGTTTGTAAATATAATATTGTACGTGAATGAGTAATAGTATTTGTGTATATAATAGTACGAGAGTATATAACAGTGTTTGTAAATATAGTAAAGTACGTGAATGAGTAATAGTATTTGTGTCTATAATAGTACGAGAGTATATAACAGTGTTTGTAAATATAGTAAAGTACGTGAATGAGTAATAGTATTTGTGTCTATAATAGTAAGACAGGAATACAATAGTATAGTACAGGAATGAGTAATAGTATTTGTGTATATACTATTACGAGAGTCTATAATAGTGGTTGTAAATATAATATAGTACGTCAATGAGTAATAGTATTTGTGTATATAATAGTACGAGAGTATATAACCATGTTTGTAAATGTAATATAGTACGTGAATGAGTAATAGTATTTGTGTATATAATAGTACAAGAGTATATAATAGTGTTTGTAAATATAATAGTACGAGAGTATATACAAGTGTTTGTAAATATAATAGCACTCGAATGAGTAATAGTATTTGTTTTAACGACAAACCATTACTAAATTTGTTCAATATAATTTTTTTAACGATATGATAACTTGATTACTATATTTGATTGTAATTAAATGAAAAAATGTTCAAATTTTTGTGTACCAAAATATCTGTTCATTAGTTATACTAAGTATATTTTTTATGTCTCCAAAAACACTGCACTTGGCCTCAGTACAATATAATTTGGAGTTTTGCAATTATAGGAAAAATAGTTTTAATTTTAATCTTCCAAAATATCATATAAATTCGTGTAGTAAATCAACCTATTTATTATTATTTCCCATAAGGTAGCAGGAAATTTTTATTACATTTTTTGCTCATGTCGAGTTCGTCTGCTACAT